GAAAGTAATTTTTACCGGAAATTATCAAACAAGCAGATATGTAACAATACTATAACTTATAAGGAAGCTCCAATGGTTGATACTAGACCATTGTGTGAAGAAACTAAATGTATATAACTAAGAGCTGTATTGTTGTTTTGTAATTTTGAAGTCGCATTTATGCTGTAGGCCAATAGTGATGCCTCTCAACAAATGAGGTTTAAAATTCATAATATAATTAGATTAAAGAGCCAGTACTTCCAAAAATACAACTGCCCATCGAAGGCTTCAATTCAGCGTGCAAGTGTTGAACCTCAATGTTAAAAAAAAATGTGAAGGTCTCATCTCGGACATACAAGTTAATACATACTACTTATTTACGAGATGAGACCTTGGTTTTTTTTTACTTTGTGTTTCAGGTATCTGTAGTTCAGGGCCTAAACTGTGTAATAAATAAAAGTTTCAACTTATTAAAAAATCCGTTGTAATGGTTGTGAAGGTACTTTTAAATTTTTTGTTGAAAATAATTCGAAGTCCAGTCCAAATACTGAAAGAAAGTAGTGGATTTTCAAGTATTAGGTGGTATTGTACAACAAAGTGTAAGGACTACACTTTGTAACTTCACCCATATATAAGCAGTTAGGGTTTATTGCAAGATCAGTGACTGGAGAGAAGAGTCAATTCTTGATTTCAAAGCTTTCAAGTGACGTTCACAGTACAGTGTGTACACTAAATTGTGTGATTTCCACTTGAGTTGTTTGGGTGGGAAGGAAACCAATGGCTAAAAGAGATTTTGGGTGGTACTGTTTTGCTGGCAAATTTTTGTGACTACCACCTGAGTGTCAGTAAGTAAGGGTGATTATCAATCAAAAGGTTGACAGGACTAAAGGAATTTTGTAAGATCCGTACGCTGTTAGAACAGCTGGTTTAGTAGGTGTAATGCCTAGAAAATATCGAGGTTTGTACAGCTAGGTATTGAAGGTATCAGCTAGGAATTCATGAGAAGTACTCTTGATTTAGTTGAATGATGAAAATTCTTCATGGAATGCCTGCTAGAGTCCCTCAGCACATGTGAACATGGACAACACCTTTACGCATAGCCAGTAGAAATTGAGCTCTTGGTCAACATGGAATGTATATCATGGTGTAATTAATTTGAATGGAATAGATCATATTTCATTGGATTTGCCTGTAAATATTTTTATGCAGTACTGACTGTAACAAGTGGATCGACTTATTGGTGATTCGATCATAAGTTTGTTATTTTAGCTATTGTATTGGCTGCTGTCTAAGGCAGTAAATATACTTTACTGTGTACTATTGCTTGACATGCAAGTTCAAATCTTATCACCAAACATGCTCACCCTTTCAGCTATATTATTTTGTGATGATCAATCCCACTTTTTGTTGATAAAGAGTAGCTCAAAAGTTGATAGTGGGTAAAGTTGACTTGCTGCCATCCATCTAGCCTATCATTTAGCCCTCAAGTAGTTTTGCACAAAATTGAACAAAACAATCAAATAAAACCTACTCTGTTTAGCCTAGATTGGTATAAAGTGTAATTTACGTATAAGACAGAGACAATGCAAATGTTAATTCCGGCTAGGCGAAATGTAGTTGAAAGGTCGAGGCTAAATTACATTCTACTGGATTACATATTTCATAATTTCTGAAAATAACTTGAATTTCACGATTCATAGATGGCAGTACATTACCACACTATAGCTATCAATTAGTAGTTCATGGGAATGGTTTGGGCTGGTTACCATAGTAATGGAGCATGATACAGGAGGTGATCTGCCTAAAGCTACTATAGTATGTGATAATGTGTAT